TGCTTCCCCGATGCTTCCCAAGACCACCCGTATGGGCAAGTCCTTAGGGCAAGGGCAGACCCGGGCAGAGAGGGCTGCAGGGTTTCCCTTTTTCTCCCGCAGCCCCGAGGGCAGAGCAGCCGAAGGGCGCCGGGTCCACGGGCACCTGCCGGGAGAGCCAGCCTTCCGCGATGCGTGACGGGACCCGGGTCCCGTTAAGGGTATCTGGTAAGGTTCTCCGGAGTCCAGCTTCCCTGTATCCACAGAAAGTCTTAGTAATAGCTGTTTAAAAAATTAAAGCTTCCTTATGCATGTGTGCAATGTCTACTGCTAACGGTTGTGTTTGATTTTAGTCTGAGAAGGGGGCTGTGACTGACCAACCAAAGTACAGTACTCTACTCTAAACTGTGTTTTGAAAACTGAAGTGAAAACTGAAATGCAAACTGTCATGCATTTAAAAACAAACAAACAAACAAAAAACCCCAAACAATCTGAGACCCACGGTAGCCAGCACAAATATTACACTGACCAAGAACTAGAGTTGAGAAAAGCACCTTCAGAGCACAGTGCCTTGGGAATTGCTATTAGACCGAAAATGAGGGCTTTCACGAGTAAGCAGTCCTCGGTTACCTGGAAGTCTTTGCTGTGAACTGTCACGCAGCGTTCCTGACTGAACATTTATTGTTGTGGTGACGGTCACACCTATGTGCCCTTTGGCTGACGGCAGGGACGCATAAGCGCATGCATGGCTGTGAAGACAAGGAACACCTGTGAAGGAGGCGTGGTTGCCTTCTTGTTTCCTGGCGATTGTAAAAGACATTGTGGGTTGGTTTTTTTTCTTTCCTTTTTTTTAAATGTTGCCACAGGGTTAATATTTTTTTGAGCAACATTTTTTTTTCTTTTTTGCATTCTTGCTTCATTGTGCTTTCATCTTTATCTGGAGTTGCTGAAACCTGAGCAAATATTTAAAATAGTGAATGAAGAGACAGGTCATGGAGAAGTTGAAGTTCATGTTCCAAGCTCCAAAACCTCTGAATAGAGTGAGTCTGAGGTTTTCTGCAGCAGGCAGTATACTTAAAAAATTCATGGTATTGAAGTAGGTTCTAAACCCAGCTATTTGAAATACTTGAAAATATTATGAATGTAGGGTTTTCTAAGCACTTCTGTGATTTGCCTTGCATTATCTTCCACTTAGCCTTATGTGCATATAATTTGCCTGTGCTAAAAGGCTTAAGCATTCATTGGAATTTTTAATAAACCCAAGGCTATATGTTCCAAATCATTTTACTTGCAGGATTTTTCTGATGGTCTAATGTTGTTGGAGTAGAGCCCTTTAGAAATATTGCATCAAGATTACTTGTGAACTCATGCTCATCGTTTGTGAACCCTTCAGGAGCAGCCTGGTAGACCACCAGGAATTTTCCCCAATGAATCATTCAGAGTAGTAGCAATTTCTCCTAAGTCTAGGAATGCTTGTGCATAGTAGAGAAATAATAAGCACCTAATATGAGGTGTTGTAACCAGAAGTTAATAAAGCCTTATGTCAAAGTTTCTACATTTTGTTACCAAAGTAATGGCACAAAGCTCTGTGTGTGTGTGTGGCACAGTCATTTTAAGAAGCTGGCTAATAATAAGAAATTGTATTTGCCTTGTGTAGTGATCTCAGCAGGATATATTTCTTACACTAGGCTTTTCTCCCCCTGCACACTTCCTCCTGACCTGACCAAAACCAGGCTGGTTAATGAACTGTGTAATCTCTTAGAAGGTTCTCACATCATGCGGAAGAAGTTAAAAACACTCCCCTGTCCTACAGGGTACATTTTGAGCCCTCTGGAGTGGTAGCTATGAGTGTGGCAGATCCCACGTGTGCCAGGTTGTACTCTGTAGTCCCTGCCTGACCACACAGGTACCTCAGTCCTTCCTCACAGGTCGCAGTGAGTCCCCACTGACCGTGGAACGTGAGCTCTGGCACATGCTTACAGCCACTTGCCCTGTTGTGCCCATGAGGCTGGTGGAGCTTGTTCCAGTCTACTGTCACTGCTGCTATGCCATGTGCTAGCTACATGCATGTTTTCTAAAGTGAACATACAGCTTTGTGCAGTTGACAGAATGCATTGATTCATTAACCTGTTGTGAGTGATATAACTGAACCTGAGTTTCTCAAGCCTGCTTAAGCAGGTCTGTCTCCTTTTGAAAGGGTTGAAGCTTCAGTGAGTGAGGAAGCTGGGCATAACTGACAGTGAGCTGTGCTTGAAATTCTAGATTCTTATCACAGTTGGTTTTTTTTTAATTGAAAACACATTGAAAAGCCACCCATTTTAACATGTTCAAAGTTATCCTTCATGATCTACAAAACTACATTTGCAATTGACCAGCCACCAAAGCACTAACTTTAATGTCTCCTGGGACTGGCTGGCAGGGGGCTCTTCTGCCACGGTCTGTAATCCAGCAGGAGAACTGAGTGGCAGAAAGTAACACTGGGGTAGGTGGAAAGGACCCTGAAATGCAAAATCTCTCAGATCAAAGCAGTTCTACCTTTTATACTACAGCTGATGAGGAAGAAGAAATTGTTTGCAGAGGTTGGTTAAAACAGTATGAGGAGGATGAAGGGAGGAGGCCTGAGAAGGGGGAGGTACAAGTGTGTCATTAGCAAAAAAGGGTAAATGCATTTCCGCTGGAGAGCATGTGTGGCAGCAAATTACTGTCGGAAACTTGCATTTGGGTTACAAAACCTAGTTTGTAGGCATCATTTTAAATTTTTTTTGGTCACAATTTCATCCTTGTGGGATTGGGAGGCACACCATCTCATGAGTCTTCACCCAAGCCAGGTCTACCCACAGTCCTACTGTATCCCATATACACTACTCCTTGCTTTGCTGTGTTAGTGAAATATTGTCAACAATTTCCTTTGCTGAGATTATGCTTCTGCAGCATTTTACTTTTAATGGTGGGGGCTAGTAGGATGCTTGCAACAAAACTCTGTGAGGTTGAAAGAAGTTCAAATGTTCACTTATGCCTTGGTAGATGTTAACTGAGATGCTGTCACTTCAAATTTACTGTTTCTCAGATTGAGAAAGGAGAAGTGTTTCAGGCCATTATTCTGCAGCAAGGACATCTGCCTGCAGGAACTATGCAAGATAGCAGAAGGAGTGTTTAAAACCTGAGGTACATTAATTTAAGATATGCTAACAGTGGCTGCATCTTTTCTTTGTCTTTCAGAATTGGTCTGGGAGCCTCATTTTAGCCTCTTTAACTGGTGCTTTTGGGTCATCTTTTCTTTATGGTTACAATCTCTCGGTGGTGAACGCTCCTGCAGTGGTAAGTGACTGACAAAAATGGAATTTAATGTCAGTAGAGGGCAGCCTTGTCCAGCTATTGCACGCTCTTCAGTATCCTGCCTTTATAGTCCTCCTGATTACACAGTAGAAAAAGATTACATCTCATACAATAACTTTCCTTTGCCTGAAACCTTCCTGCTCTCCATGAGGTTTTCACATAAATCCAGTAGCTATCAGGAATCTAGATGCCACTGTTGTGGTGCATGGGTGCACGTGGTTTGCTTCTCATTCTCGCCAAGCCCAGACGAATACTAAATCTCCTTGCACACTTTTGTATGGTATTTTTAATATCTGCCTAATAGGTATTTGGTAGCTGTATGCACATGTTCAGCAGCTTCTGTTCACATGGTTCAGTTCTAGAGGGTTGCACAACATGTCATTCCCGTTGATTAATATTAAAAATAATGCCTCTGGCTTCCCCTTAAATAATAGGCCTCCTCTCCTGCATTTTGTGGTGATGTCTTGTTTGGTTCTGAATTCAAAACTGCTGGGTTGACCATCTGTTGGCTGCAATATGTGGGATAGATTTGATGAATAGAGTACTGTGGAGTCATTAGGCAAAACTTGTGGTGATTTCATTAAAATATCAGTTATCACAAACAATCTTAGCCCCAGGCTTTGTCAACAGTTTTAAGAACAACTTTGACCCGTAGGGTTATAGATGTCAAACCAGGTATATTTATATAAAATGAATTATTTATTATGACAAATGATCAGACAAAAGATCTTAATCAGAACTATTTACAACACCATAGAAAAGCTAAAACTATTAGTAGTGTATAGTACAGTGCAACTATATCAAAGCAATTATCTCAAAGCAATTAGATTAAATCTAGCAAAATTTAATTTTTATTAAATTTTAATTAATGTAACAGCTCAACAATGCATGTGGGCAGATCTCTTTCTCTTAACCTCAAGGAGTATCCTTGAATGGGTGTCCCCTTTTCCAGAGAGCATCTCCACACACTCCAGGAAGAGTATGTTAGAAGAACCTGTCATATGAAAGTGGACTGGAGTTTTATAGTATAAAGTGGTTGACTGTCAGTCTCATGTCTCCAGGTCAGCTTAGCATCTTATCTGTCATATCTTTGCCTCACTACCAGTATGTTGGTTTGGGGTTGATGAGCCAGACTGGTTTTGGCATAATTCAATACCAAAAGCAGCACCTGGACCCCCTCTCAACCCACCACTGACAGATTTGCAAATAGGGCATTTTCCTGTTGAGTTGCTTGACCTCATTCCAGGATGAAGAGCCCTGCTACAGGGGGAAGTTAATTTAAGGCTGGAAAGTTGAAGAACTATTTGTAAATTTTTGTGTCCGTTTTCTTTTGATGTTGCAAATTGTGTCAGCTCATCAAACTCCAGAAAAATACTCCTGTAGTTCTCGCTGAGCTTTACCTCACGTCATCTTATAAGGTAGAGTTAATCCAATTTCCTGACCGCTGAAAGGGGGAAATAAACTGTACAAACTCCGCTCAGAGCTGAGATTGCATCCAACTCAGCTCCCTGTTGTTCTGTGGGAAAGAGCAGTGGCCCATTGCAGGTATGATTCCCGAGAAACCCAGAATTAGAAGTGTCCATGGGCTTGTTCAAAGAGCTACCATAATTTATGAAATTATGGGAGCATTTGGCAGTAGGAAGACAAAAGATTTAATTGCATATGAGTTGAAGCTGTGTTTTTCTGAGCAGAATTTCTGCAGTTCATTTCATGGATGGATTGTAGGCAAGGCCTGTGAAACAAAGATGTGCTTTGTGCTCTATGCAAGGAAGCAAAGCCTCTGCTACTTTCTGATTTGCACTTGCCCTCCTCCTGGGGAGGGCTGCAGTTCTGAATTCCTAATGCAAAAATGTACAGCCTGCTGTGTCAGCCAGTTCAGTAGTGGTCACTGTGTGTAAGTGACCTTTGTAACTATGCGTAAGACAAGGAAAATATTTCCCTTATATCTAAAATGTACCCATTAGATTAATATATATATATATAACTATATATATCCCTTACATTCCTCTTATTTTTCTCACTCTAGCACTACTACTGTAATGGACTGAAGCAGTTGAGAAAATAAGATACTGATAATGCATCAGCTACTGTTTCTTGTTGGCTTTGATTAGGGGCTAAAATTTGTGTATACAGGTTTATGACTTCAACATTATTGAGACACCTGATCAAAATCCCAAAGGAACCTTTCCATAGAATTAAATGGATTAAAATCCAGTGAATTTGTTAGATCAGATTTGTTTTGTTTCATGTTCTTCCCCTCAAAACCTCTATGTATTACTAGCTTCCAATTTATTGGGAATGGGAATCCAAACACAGGTGCTGTACATGTCAGAGCATCTGTATGTTACTATTGAGTGTTGTAGTTTGTACTTTCTTTTCTTGAATATTTCCAGTTATTTATGTCTCCTTGTAAATAACAAAGATATGATGAGAAAATTAGTCATAACACAGGGGGAGAATAAATTGGATACTATTTTGAACCATTATCATTAGCAAGAAATGCTAATAGAGTTGTAAAAGGGCTTTCTCTCAGTATTCATTACTATCAGTAATTAACTTCAAATAAACAAGATCTCTGAATCTAAATATAATCTGAGTATTGGTGTTAAAGAGATAAGATGTACTACTTGATTTACTGGCAGATTCATTTGGAAGCTTACTGTGAGATTCTTATAAATAGACAAAGCATCAAATTGACTTTTTTCCTTTTCTTTTTTTTTTTTTAAGTGTTTTTTTTTTCTATCTGTTTAGAAACACATAAGATAGCTTTGGAGAAATATCCATGCCCACCTTTTAATTCAAGGCACAAGAGGTCTACTAGAAACTCGATAGAAGGAAGACAGAAAGTTGTATGTTTTTACCTCCACCTTTCTTAGGTATCTTGCAGATGGAGAGGTGGTGACTCAAATTAACTGAAGTCCTCAAATCAAATATTCTGTGTGTCCAAGGCTAGACTAAAGTTTGAAATTCCTAGTTTGAATGGGGAAAATGTTGTGGCTTATATTGCTGAGTCCTGTTCCAGGATACTTTAGGAGCTATTACATGCTGAAGGAAATCTGAGAAGAAACTGGGGAAAAGAGCCAAGATTGAATTTTGTGATACTGTAGAGCTTGTTGGGAAGCGGTGACAGAGAACAGGTGAGAGCTTTTCACAAGCATGCTGTGTCCTGCTGGAGTGACTGCAGCTGCCTGGTGCTGTATCCTCGTCAGAGCACCAGACACAACGGTCCTTGATTTTGAAATGGGAGCAGCATAAAAATGAGGAAGTCTGACTAACAAGAAAGTAAACAGGCAATGTCTCTGCAGACAATACAGAGAAGTTGTTAGAAAGCATCCTTCAAAAACCTGCAGTTGTGCTCATGTGAGGAAAGCAGAAAAAGAGTATAAACTCTATCACACTGAAGGCTAAAAAGTGAGATGGTCCTGGACATTCGTGTCTGCCGTTTCCCCACCTTTTTTGGGACCACCATGCAGTTATACATATGGATGTTTTGATTGATTCAGTTTTATTGCAGTTGCATCTAGAATTGAGGGTCCATTTTTTGGAGGAGAGCAAAGGTGATTGCTGCAAGCAAGCTATTGGGCTGATTTTTTTTTTTCTAATTCTGTTTCCCTCAGTCGCATTCTTAATGTCTGATTTTTTTTTTTTTTACATGTATTATTACTATTTATTTTCTTTCAGTATATCAAGAAGTTTTACAATGAAACTTGGCAGAGCAGATACGGCTTCTCAGTGAATGAAAGCACGCTGACGCTGCTCTGGTCTGTAACTGTTTCTATTTTTGCCATTGGTGGCCTTGTGGGTGCCATCATTGTTACCCCAATTGTGAAGTTCTTCGGACGGTAAGTGTACTGCAAAACTTGTGTTTTCTAGAGCAGTTTCTCACTTAGTCTCTCTAGAAGGCTTTACTTTTATTTTTGAAAAGCACCCTCTTCACCAGAATGCAAATTAAAGTATCTTTAAATCATGAAAGCTCATTTCTGAGAGATGTGAATTTCCAAGAGTGAAATTGGTACCTTTCTCTCTGGCCTTACTGTGTATCCTTTAAGTCAAAGAAGTCATTTGCTCTGAACTGACAGTGGGTTGAGATGTCAAGGAGATTGCATTGTCAAGAATGTGAAAGGAAAATACTGTAAAATAGAAAAGATGTCACAAAGGACTGGCAGATTCTTGTTTCATGAGTCTGCTGAGTACCTTACTGTAAACAAACAAAGCCATCAATATATCTCGTTTGCTTCTTAACAATATCTGTTGTCATATAGTAATGAAAATTTGCACATTTTTCCTTCCTTATGTCAATTTAAAATAGAGTTTGAGGAACTAAACTAGGATGAAGTTCATGTTTGGTCTTTGCCAAGCTTGGGGATACTGTCCCTGCTCTATACAATGCAGTATTTGACCAAGTCTTGACCACAGAGAATATGAGTATTTTAGGAATGTCTGTGCTGGTGTGTGTTTGCATTTTTGCTGCAGGTACTGACTAGATATTTCTGACAAATTTTTGTTTCATACAGTCTTCCAAAGAGAATTTTAAAGGTAATTCATTAACTACCTATAGTTAGAAGAGCGTGAAAAAACCCTTCCACTGTAGTATTCATCATAACTGCTCATTTGGATTTCCTTAATTGCAAATTCTATATAATTTGATACTTTTTTGTCAGTTAAATCACAGGAGAACATCATCATGGAGGCTTAAATACAAGCATTAACTTCCACTGTTCTTACTTTTGTGTTTTACACTTTGACTGTTTCTGTACCCTTTGACCGATTGTACTCTCCTAGGTCTCTTTGGCATTCTCCCAACTCTTCCATATCCCATTTTTCACCTCAAAGAGTATATTTTCAAGCTCTTCCATTTCATGCTTACAGCAAGTCAGTATTCTCTGCTGTTATCCATTCTTCATTAATTTATTCTGTCACTTCACCATTTGATTTTCAATTTTTAAATATTTTTCATAGGCACATTATTTCTTTTTTTTTAGTTTTTCATCTTCTTCTGCCAAATCATCAATTTGGCTTTTACACACTTGTGTAATATATAAAACTATGCCTGATTAAGACAGATTAATTCCCAGAATATTGCTGAGTCTTCATTAAAATAAAGTGAAGTAAAAAATTAGTTCAAAGAAGGCTTGAATTTTCAGTGAAGAGTAGAACAGCTTTGCATGCAATTTGTTAAAGTGGTGGCTGATCTCTGTCATAGATACACCACTTCAATTGGAGCTGGTTGTGTTTCCAGGGCAGACCTTTACACTTGCAGATTCTGCCCCTGTTTATTATGTTTATCTCCATTAAGCCACGAAAACAGCTCTGTTATAGATATGGTGTATGAACGCTACAGTACAGATGGCAAAGGGTTGTGTGGATAAAGGCTACTTACCAAAGAGTGGTTCTTAAGTTTACTGTTCACACTGCAGTGTGTTTTTCTGGTCTAGGAACTCAGACTGATGTGCCATTATAGTTATTGAGGAGCACATTGTGAAATGTTGACAGAACAATAAAATACTCTGCTCTTAAGTTGCTCAAGTGTAGGTTGGAGGGTTGTATGTATGATGAAGCTGAGCTCCATTTACACTGACACAGAATAATGAGCTAAGGGGGATCAAAAGCATTAGTCAGAAATAATGTATGACTTTAAAAAGAACACTTGAATCACATTGCTGTAAGGTTAATAACATAATTTCCAAATTACTAGTCCCTACTTACTTCAAGAGAGATATAGAGTAGTTTTTTGAAAGGGAACCTTCACACACATAAGCTTAAGTCCCCTGTGTCTTTGACGCTTCATAATTTAAATTCTCTTCTTCTAATGAAGAGCAGTTGCTGTTGTGTATCCTGAGCACCCAGAGCAACATGTTCAAGGGATTGCTTAGACCACTGCTAGGGAGCCACATTCCCAGGCTGAGCATCACTCCAGGTCCCTCTCCTTCCTTTTTGTGCCACAGCAGATCACGCCCAGTGCCTTCAGTGAGAGAATGGGCAGAGCAAGGAGTCAGGGTCAGTGTGTAACAACTTCTTTGTGCCGTTCCTTTCTTCTCACTCCTCCTGTTTTTAAAATTTTAAAGTACATTTTTGTGATTTAAAAATTTTTTTAACAAAGTAATAATTTTCCGTAGAGAATATTTCTTTTATTTGAAAAATATTTTTAATTTTTTATTTAACCGTTATAGAATTATTTAAATTTAAAAGTGGGAAAGAAATATGTAAATCTGTATTTTCGTTCATTTGAACAATTTTTAGAGAAGGGTTGAGTTTTACTACTCATGTGAGCCCAAGTGTTTTTTCTAACTCGACAGGTAGGAGGTAATTTTCCTCAATGTATGTTTTCATTATCATGGATTTAAGGATGAATTATAATGACATAAATATGTCAGTGTTGAGTAGTTCTCAAAGTGTCGAAAAACATATGTAGCATTAAAATGCCTGTAGTTATATCAGCTTGTTGCTATTTAAAGTATATTCTACAGTTCCTCCGTACATCTAGACATCATCTACCCAGAGTACGTTTGTTTATGTTTATATTCATATACAGAATCTTGGGCATGTCACTTGGGTGCTTGGGATGCATAGAGTGGCTAATTGCTCTGCTTTTGAAGTACAGCTCTTCAGTTAGCTATGATATGTTTTATTTTAAAGCTGTGGTATAGGTTTGAAACTGTATACATTTGGATATAGTGCTGTACTTTGGAACCTCACAACATCTAAGAGGCAGTGTTTGTTAGGAACTTTTTATTCATAAATGTTTAAGTATAACAGCCTAGTATGCTTGGAATATGACTAGATTTAGCTGCCATGGTGCTGGTTTTCTACATAAATTGTCTTTTCCTTTTAGGAAATGTACGTTGCTGCTCAATAATGTGTTTGCAGTGACAGCTGCGTTGTTGATGTCCCTCTCCTTGCTGGCAGGGTCGTTTGAAATGCTCATACTGGGCCGCATTATCATGGGTGTTGATGCAGGTAAGCTTTGGTCATGCTCTACGTGTCTGAAATGCTTGTGCCATACATAAAATTCCTCCTCTCCCCCAGCTAGAACTTTCTTTACATTGAAGAGGTATTTTAGGGACTAGCTGTAGCCACACTGATTTCACTGGGACAAAACAGCAGACTAAGGGCTGAAGGATCTGATGTTTGGAGAAGACACTGGAATGAAAGCCAGCTACTGCTATCCATCCTGGTTGTTCTCCCACTTTTCCTCTTCCAACCCTGGTAGATTTCATCTGTCTTCATGCCATGAAAACCCTTTAGCTAGGAGGGTATAGCCTATTTATTAACACTGCTTGTTGCTGTGTGTTTAGAAGTTGTTGGATTCCATGCTAATACCAGCAGGATTAAGGAAGGTTTGGTACATCTTCAGTTGCTCCTAGCAATATAGTCTTCCCAATTTAAAAGTAAACCATTGAGGCACTGCAGCACTAGAATTGTCTTGCAGCTAAAAGTAAGGGTCTCAGCAACTTCTCGGGTCACTAGATGTGAAGTTTATGAGTCATTTTGGTGCTGACTGCTAATTTTTGTCTAGGTTACCACCAAACTACCAAGCTTCTGGAGCTATGTAAATATCGTCATTGTACTAACTAGGATCATGCAATTGTTTCTTCCTGGCTTTGAGCAGCCACCTCACCCTTATTTTCTGCCTACTATGCAGAGTTCATTGCAGGTGTAAACCTATATTGAGAGGAATATCTGCTAGTACTGTTTACAGTAAAAATGTTTCACCTGACAGTATCTGCTCTATTTGATAGATACATTGGTTTGCGGTTTTTTCCTTACCCACACCAGTGCTAACACGACTTTGTTTGCTTTGGGATGAGCAAATTTAAAACATCAAATCTGTTCTCCTGGTGATTCTCATCTCTGAGTAACCTTTGGTGCTCCTCATCAAATAACACCTACGCACATTTCTGTAGATCTGTAACAGATAATCAATCAAATGATTATTAAATGGTGTAAGAGTAATTAGACATACAGGGAAGATAATTCATATTGTCTGTGGACAGATATATTTCTGTTCTTTGCTTGTTCTTATGCCACTCTAGTGAGCAGATTAGTGCTCAGACTGCTTCCAGTAGACATTTTTTTCATACCTGGCATAATGAAAAGAAGTTTTGACTTAATATACGGGTTTTTTTTCTTCTTTTGTAGGAATTTCCTTAAGTGCTCTTCCCATGTATTTGAGTGAAATATCTCCTAAGGAAATCCGTGGTTCATTGGGTCAGGTCACAGCAATTTTCATCTGCATTGGTGTTTTCACTGGTCAAGTTTTGGGGCTGCCAGAAATATTTGGGCAAGTAAGTACTTAACACATCTTTTCTGTCAAAGAACACAAGTGTGCTTTAAGTGTCATATTTTTTGTATTTTGACTGAGTTCTTTACAAAAGTGGAAAATAGAAACAATGGGGTTTTTTGTTTTGAAGCACTTTGAAAAGTGGTTTCCTCCATGTGTTCTAAAAGCAGGTACATATGGCTAAGTTTGGTAGATGTGGTCAGCAGTTTTAACAGTTTGAGTGGCTTGTGTGTGTCCATGTGCAGGTCCCCCTCCTCCCCTTTCTTGATGTACATTTATTTTTGATGGTTTACAGTTTCTTTGAGTATCAGGGAAATGCTTAATAGCTTTTACATTTTTGATTTGTGATTTTTCAGTGTGAGATAGGACTGAAAAAGGCTTGGTTAGAGTTCGTATGAGAACCTGAATAGGAAGACCCTTACTTGGTTATTAGAGTGTTCCTTGTAATGCACTCTTTCTTTTAGATTATAAGGTGGAAAACCAGAGCTAATATATACCTTTATGGAAAGATTATCTCTTCAGTTAATAGGTTGTCTTGCTGTCATAGACTGAGATTAACTTGGTGACCACTGGATGTCATCATTGCTCTAAACAAATGAACTCGAGGTTGGTTATGGCTGGTACTTGGAAATACAGAATCACAGAATTGTTAAGGTTAGAAGGAACCAGAGTGGGTCATCTGATCCAAGCAGATACTTTCCTTTCAGAGGTGAATCTTCAGTGCAGTGTGGAGGAAATATCTGTATCCTCTCACAATGAAACCTGAACTCAGAATCACTTCTGACAGCCAGCAGAAGTAGTAAACTGTGGAAAAGTGAGCTTTTCCTCCTCTATCCATCCAAACTCAGCTCCTTTGTAAATACACAATGCCATCCTCCCTGACACTTTTATTTTTGTTGGACCAGCTCTCTTATTCTGTTCCTTTATCCTGTTAAGCCCTCCTGCAGACAAACAGTTTGATTCAATATACCCTTTATTGAATTATAGTTTTCTCCTCTGTCCCCTTTTTAGAAAAAAGCTTTAAATGGCTTTTACTGACCTTCCTTGGTGGCTTCTATGGAGTTGCCTTCTCTTGCTTTGGAAATTAGTCTGTTGGAAATGAATGTATGAAATGTCAAGAGGCCAATCAGATTGTTTAGAATATATGTCAGCCCTAATGTAGTAGGTGGTTTTTTTTTAATTTGGTTTTTTTGGGGTGTTGTTTTTTTTTTTAAAACATGCATACACTTTTAAAGGTGAGGTGTCATGCGAATTCTTTTTCCCTCTTAGGTCTTCGGGATATTTTGAACAGGAAATACTGATTTCTTGGTTTCAGCTCTTGGTTTCAGCTGTTTTTATTTCTTCCTTTCATCCCCATTGTTGCTGCTACCAAATTATGGAGACTGCTTCTACAACCTGCTTTAGTATGAAGTTAATTAATATTACACTATTAAAGATAGACATTAATTAATTTATGTAAGAAGAAATACACTTTATCCGTAGAATTAGTTCTTTTCAAGATAGATAACATCAGCATGTTGGCTGATGTGAATTAGCATATTTCCAGAAAAATTATTGGAAGCAACTTGAATTATCTAGTTGGGAATGTGGGTGTATTTTTCTTTTTATCTCTGTTGGTTTCGGTCAAGCCAGGATTTTATTCACCAGCTTTATGTGGTTCCCATTGAACCTCCCTTAGTGGGACGTAGTTTTTATTTTGTTGCTCTGTGGTTGGTTGTTGGTTTCCTATCAGAATTTGTTGTAAATAATAATAATAGTTACAAATTCATGTCTTCTGTCATGGTTTCATAAGAGTTTTCTCTTGAGCTCTGTCATTTATCTATTACTTGTAAATTGAGCAAATATCTAAGAGATTATTAACTGTAGTATCTAAGCAGTGATGGTTTTGAAGAAAGGAGGGACAAAACCAGATTTGGGCATCTTACCAGAAGAGATTTGTTGGAAGAGGAGTGGACATGAGCAGGGCTTTCAGCATGGCTGGGGTTCTGTCTTGTAAGAGCAGGTAACAGCAACATTGCTTGTGTGGTCAGGTAGAGGGAAGGGAGACAAACTGACTGCACCATGTAAACACAAGGAAGAGAACTGCAGAAGGAATAGAGTGGCTTAATCTCAAGGACAATATGGCTACAAGAATGACTTTTATAATAATTGTGTGAATAATTGCATGCAGAAATTCATCAGAGTGATGTTTGGAACAGACTCCCAGCTGAAGTAGCTTGAGCAGAAAATTTAAGATCTAAATTGGAGCTTGATGCATTCTTGTGGATTATATGAGGTTGTTGCCTTCAGTGGTTCTGTAGAAGTCTCTTCACAGAAAAGGGAAGTGTTTGTGTCGGCAGGGGGGCATAGTGTTAACAAGCATTTATTAACAACCTAAGCGATTACTTCCTCTGTTATCAAATACAAAAGTGTTGCTTTAAATGTGGAATTATGATAAAAATAGCTCTGAAGCTGTGAGTGTTACTTGAGGCAAAAAAAATAAATCCAATAATGGCAGTAAAATCTAAATACAGGCATTCTTTTAGATTCTGAATATATAGACTTTTATCCTATTTGTCTCCGAAGGTACTAATTTTAGAGTACCAAGTCTGAAGAATGTTCTCCTTTAGCATGCAATGCTTAGCAAGAGTGATTATCTGAAGGAGAAAAGCTGGAGTTGTGACAATGCTACAGTGACTTGATATTCTTTCTTTCTTTCCACTGCCTTAATTCCCTCACATACAAATATGCCAGCAGTGCTTTTTATTCAGGATTCTGATTCTTGTAGGCCATAACTTATGGAAAACTATATCTGCTATGTCTCCACTGAGGTTTGGTAAATTACACAGTCATAAAGCCAGCTGGTGATCAGAGCACAGAGCATGATAACTTTACGTACTGGTGACCTGCTTCTCTCCACCACGCTGAGTGCTGAGAGCTGAGTGCTTGTTTTCATGTGCTAGCATCTTGTGTTAGTGTTCTGTAAACCAGAGTTCTTAATTCTTCAAGATGCCATGGCAACTATAAATGACAACTTGGTGCAGGCCCACAGGTGTGCAGAGATGTTGTCTGCTGTAATGTGAGCACCAAATTATTGCTACTGGCTACAGGATTATTTAATTTTTGATTGTATTATGTGTGCAGTTTTCCATGTATCTGACAAGGAAAAAACAGACATTAAGATAAGGAGGTCTCAGATCTGTCAACTCTTCAAACACTGCCCTTCAGGTGTTTCCATTCTCTCTGTTTCTATGATTCTACAATTGAATCACCCAGCCCATTTTTCCTAAAAGATTGATCCCTGCAAAGCAAAGACCAGTGCGTTGTCAAATTCAGTTTTGAAAGTTCAAATTTACACTTACTGTCTTGGGGGAATATTATCTGGCCTGATTATGGCATATTACATGTAACTCTAGGTATCATTCTATCTCATCTAGTTTCTCCTGCATGTAATGTCGTGCTCTACAGGTTTTCCTTAGCATGAAAACATCTTTTAAATTTTATAAACCACAGACTGTCTCTTCTATTGGTTCATTTGTTTAATGAAGGTAGGCTTTAATCTTTCCTTAAATGATAGAGGATTTAGTTTATGCAAACTTTTTCAGTAGTTACAATGTTCATATTTTTTAATATACCTAGAGCCTCTATCTCTTTCATCTGTGTATAGATACAAGAAAGGGGAGAAAAAAAATTTTATGGTATGTGTATGTATTCAGGGCAGGTAAAGCTGAAACTGTTGCCTGTTGCCAGGTTTTCCTCAGACTTCTGCTTTGAGCCCCCTTTCCTGTGCGTGGTGTGTAAAGCTTTGCCAAGCTGCAGTTGTTTTCTCTGGAGCTGACCCCAGTGGTTGGCTGGCTCTGGCTGCTTCTCTGACCAAACAGCTGTTTGCCATAGGTAGGCCAACAGAAAAATAGAATTTTTTAGGTTTACTTCAGCAACCCTATTTTATAGACTTCAAGTGTTTCTAGGTAATGCACCCAGGAGCTTGTCTAACTGCAATGTTGCACTGTTTCATAGTGGATAGCATGTCATCCTAAAAACCCTGCTCTGCTTGCATCCTAAGACTTGCTGAATAAACCCTGTTACTGCTGTAAGTGTTTGCAGGGGGAAAAAAAATAGAGTAAACAGAACAACATAAAATTCCTGATGTGTCCATCTCCTGAATGTTGCAAGTTGTTTTGGTCATTCTGTTTTAAAAAGGGTCAAGCAATACAAGGTACAGAAGGGAGCAGCAATTATCAGAGGTGGGAAGGGGCTTATTGAGGAGAAGTCAGGGTTAAACAGTTCTTATGGGTAACCCCATGCTGGGGAAACACTCAAAGCAATGAAAAACAAAGTACACCTGAGAAGACTTAGAATTTGCCTTAAAGTGACATGCTGTGTTTTCTAGACTTTTCTCAATCTTTCTTTAAATACATTTGGAATTTATTATGTTGCAAAACTTTGTGTAAGTGGTTATGGTTATGAACTGTATTAATTAGACATTGTCTTTGTCATATAAGGAACATGAATTCATTTTAAATTACACTTTTTTGAGGATTTTGAACAGCTTTAATACATATCTGACTAGAAATTACCTATTTTTTAAAAAAGGAGTTAGCTGGAAATAGGTCCGTGACAATGGCCAAACTGTCCTCCACACAACTGATTATTTTAGCAAAGAAATTCTGTTACTGCTATAAATATCAATATCAGCTTCTGCAGTAAATTGAGCTAAATTTGGAAAGGGAAAATGAACTTCATAGACACTGTACTATGTACCTAATAAGGAAGCATCTCTGTGATTAGTCCCTTTCAAGTTAGTTCTTTGCATGAGTGGACCTTGCAAAGAAATATTTGTGATTTTTTTTAAAAAACATCAACTAAAAACTTCTGTAGATACTGTGTCAGACTCTAATTTTTCTTAACAGACCTCTTAAAAATGATGTGTTTAATGTGATAGATAGTTGTGTATTTGGGAATGTTTATATAGGAAATTCTCATTTTGCTTTACCACATTCCTTTAAAAGTACTCCTTCACTTGCA